GGCTGCCTTGCAATTGCTCTTCATGCTGGGTTAAAACAGAGGAGACCTGTTCATCCCAAGTCACGTAAGGGTCAGACTGTTGCTCAAATTGCAGAGTTATTCCCCTGACAGTGATTTACCCTCAGTAACCTAGATTCTCTTCACCTACTCATAATTCTTTCTCCTATTTAGCAGAGCTTGTGCATATTAATTTTTGTCTCTCCCTATTGTACGAAGCCTGTAGAAAGCAACGTAAAACTACTGTAAATATGTTTTCACTGGAGAGCTGCCATTGTTCTAAATTATGGAAAGTAAATGATTTCTGGCCTGTGCTGTTAATTGCATATAGCAATAATATATTCATTCAGAGCTTCCCATTTTAATTCAGACACCCTGATCACTGGTTTTTAATGATGCATTACAAGCCTGTACTTCTCTGACACCTAGGCAATTAATCATTGACACTCCTCAGTCCCCCAAAGTAGCTGGACACAATTAGACAAGAAAGAACCAGACCTGAGGGGTGGTGAAAATTTCTTTTCAGGAACTACACATTTTTTCACACCATAAACTCTGCTTGACATTCATTGCTGCAAATGAATTTTAATAGAACTGCTGTTACTCTGCCTCTCCTCCCAGAATCCCAGGAGTTTTTGTAGATCAACATGACGTTCAGAAATAGGAAGAAAATGCTCTGCAAAGTTTAAAAGCTGTCAAGCCTTCTTGGCAACTTCCCTCGAAGAGTGCAGCTGAGAAATGACAAACTTACACCTGACTGGCTGTTGTTTAAAGCTCACTGCTTTTGATTAGGAAGCAATGAACGTTCCATTCTGGAGTTCATTTTGTGTTTCATAAGCACCTCTTCACTGAAAATTATGCAGTTGAACTGATTTGAATTTGATTGGTGTAATGCTACAATTTTATTATTTGTAGTACATACAGGTATCTTTTATCGTGTTACTGCACATTTAAGAGAATTTCAGAATGGTTACAGACTTTTATTTCTCATCTATTATTGCTTGGCATTTGAAAAAAAAATCCAATAATAATATATGTCTGTGTTGCAGTTACTCACTTGTGTATGGCTCTATATCTACTCACACTCTACTTCCTTTCTGCTCCAGTGGGAAGAATAAGATGAAAGCAATCCTGCCTACTCGAGGACAAAGTATTGTGTCCTCAGCAGGTAAGTTGAGCTAGAAAGAAAGTTATTGTGAATTGCAAGAGCTTCTTTAATGAAAATCTCCTGGATTTAATTCTATGCTACAGATTTTGTGACTGATACTTCAACAACTCGGGCTGTGAAAGAGCACAGCCACCAGAGGTGCTTGCATTAAACACTGAATTGCTTTCAATGTCATCTGACTTCATGAGTTGCAATACGAATGCTCTGGGAAGCTTGATACACTTATCTTCTGACATCCTTTCAGTTATATGTCCTTTCACATTACTATGTAACTTCCAATAATCTGAAATGTGGAGCTCAGTAATAAAAATCCATTTTATGTCTGAAGAATGCAACTTCTTTGGTCAGTCTACTTAGATGTAGAGGAGGAGAAGTGCATTTGACCAGAAAATAATGCTGAGTGAAGTCAGCTGGTCAGATCAATAAAAGCTAAAAATAACATTTGACTTGGAGAGAAAAGAGAGTTAAGGGGATAGCCTAAAGGCTAGATTCAGCCCTAACTAAACATTTATCTCTGTATCAGTGTTAGAAGGAGTGCTTAGTGACCTGAATCTACACAGAATCATAGAATTTCATAGAATGGTTTGGGTTGGAAGGGACCTTAAAGATCATCTAGTTCCAACCCCCTGCCATGGGCAGGGACACCTTCCACTAGCCCAGGTTGCTCAAAGCCCCGTCCAACCTGGCCTTGAACACTGCCAGGGAGGGGGCAGCCACAGCTGCTCTGGGAAACTTGTGCCAGTGTCTCACCACCCTCACAGGGAAGAATTTATTCCTTTATCTGATCTTGCTCTACCCTCTTTAATTTTAAAACAGTTACCTCTCATCCTGTCACTACATGCTTATGTAAAGCATGTTGCAGAGCAGTTACAGATGGTAGCTACAGAACTCAGCATTAAGATCTATGATTAACTAACAGCTTAATGTATTTATTACTAGTATGGTCCACAGTGGATTAAATCTATTTGCTTCAGGTGGAATATTCTTCAATATTTAATTCTACCTAACTTTAGAAAAATGTATATACTTAAACAATTTATCTTCTTATTTGCTTACCTGTTTTCATAGATCATCACTATATTACATGAGTACAGCAACATATTCCAGTCATTAGGGATGTTTTTAGAAAAAATAAAGTAGGTTCACTTCAGATGCAATTCAAGCTCTTAGTGAAATATTAGTGTTATATATGCATCTTCAGTACTTCTCTGGTTTTCATTAATACCAGCTGGCTGTCTCAAAATCTGTAATATATTAATTTCCACGGTATCTGTATAAATATGCAAGGCAGGAAGTCCAAAAAAGGTGTTTTGAGTGAGGATATTTAGGTCTTCTGTGCCAGTGATGACTCCTGATTTTTGAGAACCTGAAGTTGAGACTAGTGAAAGCTGCAAGCTTTCTCCACTTCTGAAAACAAGTGTGTCTTCAGTGCTCAAATAAAGATGGATGTTTACAATCCACCTGTTGAAAATATTCAGGATTATCAGCAGAAGTCCTTGTCGTAAGCAAATCCCATTTCTTTAATAAACAAGCAATTCAACAACAAAGCCACCAGAGGAAAGAATTAGCAAAGGTTATATAAATACAGAAAATCCTCTTCTAGGAAACTCCATAGGCCAGTTTCCATGAGGTGAGTGTATGTGGAGCTCAAAGTGAAGGCCTCGGATGGTCTCTTCTATCACAGTAAAGCTTTTGTGCATTGGGCTGTGTTTCTCTATGCCCACTTTTCAACCACTTGCTCCACAGCAGAGCACTGGGCACAGACAGAACAGGCTTATGTCAAACTCCCAAGGACAAGTGCATGTGTCAAGCCTTGTAGTCCCTTAGCTCTACACAATTTAATTTATGATAGGATAGGACAGGATAAGATAGAATAGGATACACACAATCTGTAGCTTTTCATGTACATATCGCTCACAACTTATTAAAATCTAAAGTTATCAAGCCAAAAGTAATCATTACCCTGAGTTCCCAAGAACACAAAGTCATTTTCTTTAGTCAAAGAATGAAAATGATCACCTACTTCCAAGTCTCACTTTTAAATCATTTAGGAAACATAGTACAATGGTTAGGAGATTGGGCTATAAGTAAAGGTATTTTCCTTCTGATGAATAGCATTCTGTGTGATACAGAGCAAACAGATTCCCCCTTCTCCTTCCATTTGCTATATGCAAAGCACAAATAATAGCAGAGGCATTAATCTTCTTATTCCACATTGCTATAATGTGAAAAAAACATTCCTAAGAGCCCTAGACTATTATTAATAAAGTATTAACACACTTAACTATAATCTAAGTAAACTCTTAAGAAACCTGCATATTTTTACCTGTTTCTTTATCTCACTCACAGCCCACTTAGAACTGGAGTGTGAGTACTGTGACTTCGGGTTTCTTTCCAGCTCAAGCTAGGATGAGAAAACTTGAAAAATACGCTGATTTTTTGTTCAAGTCTAAAGACGTGATAGGTTTGAATAGCTTTTGGCCACATCCTTTAAGTTTTTTCTCTGTAGAGAAAAATCTAAATCTAAAGCAAGGCATAGTTCAAATTTTTATAGCTATTTGCAAAGAGAAGATCCAAAAATAGCATGGGCAAAAAAGTGTTTAACTTTCAGGACACGTGATGACAAGGAATGGAGTCCTGTAAGAGGATGTCAAGCTGTTCTGCAGTGCAGGAGACAAAGCTTCAGGTCTGGCGTATAATCAGAAGGAGCAAGGGAAGGACTGTGGTTTCATCAGAGGGATGGGAAGTGATGGTGTGTATGGGACTGAGGCAGGTATTTCTGCTGCCACTGCACGTAACCTGCCAGAGGAGCTGCAGAGGAACTCCACACTAGCTATTGATACTACTTTTGCTAGTGACCTGAAACCTTCTGGACTTTGCTAGCTACCATCAACAGACTGAACATGGTCTTTTGCTTCACACAGCTATTTGCTGAAGAAACAAGCTCATTTCTAATAACTAAATGCGGTAACTGTATTTTTATATGACATATGACTATAAATAAGCTTATTACAGAAAAATGCAACTTCCACATAAGTATTTAGCTTGAAAGATTTAGGAAATGTTAGATTTATACTTTCCAGTATCATTAGATGATTTTCTTTAGTATATACAAGAAAACATAGCCTTTAATTACAGGATGCCTTGCTACCCTTATCTCCTCAAGACCTAATTAATTCTGGATATGAGATTGAATTAAATATACGTATCTGTCTTAAACACTAGTGGTGTGGCTCTTTTTTGTTAAATGTTCTCCATCCAAATGTCCACTGATGTAGATTTATTTACTTTCTTACAGGTTTTTGTTGTCTATAGTTTGTGGCAACAATGCTACAGTAGCTGAACCTTATAAACATTAATAAGTGTATGTTCACAACATCTTATGAAGATACCAAGATTTTTCTAGATGAATAAGTGGAGAACAGAGTAAAAAACCCCAGAATCTGCAAAATTTCGTTTTATCATGACCATCTCAATGAACTAACACATCCAAGGGGAGATGATTTCTCCAAATATTTGGCATTAAAAAAACCTATTTCTGGGTTCGACATACTGCACAAATATAACTTTGATTATTTTTGTTATTTCTGTGAGAAAGTTGATTAAATATTATATTTCTTTACTACAGGAATAGAGCATAAGAACTTAGATACATTATCAAACTACCCTGTCTCAAAGTAACATGCATCATAGGTATCTGTGTAAGAGCTCCCTTCCAATGGCACACATAAGGTGAACTACTTTAAAATAATCCTATTTTTTGCAGACCGAGGAAAGATGAATTATCTCACATTTGACATAAACTAAAAACATATAGACAAATACCACAGCTCACCTGATAGACTGGAAGATCACTATAAATCTGAGTGCCGGCATGCCCTAGAGAGGGTGGTAGTGGCAGGTCCAGAATTCAGGGCTGTGCAGAGTTCCAACCTGAGGCTCAGTCCTTCAGATCCCACTGATTTATTGCAAATGATCTTGAACACTCTCAATTCCCTGAACACCGTTCAATAGGTACAGTACTTCCCTAAGGGCTCCAAAAATCTGAAAATCAAGACAAAGTTGGGCAGACGTATTCAGTGAAGAACACAAAATCAGTTGTCACATGAATATTTTAGCTTAAATGCCTTATGTAGATTTGCACAGCATCTGTGACACAGGGTTAGTCCGGATAACTGAAAACTCTTCAAAGTCACTACCTTTCAAATTCTGCATGTATCGGATAAAGCAGTTACCAAAAATAACAGCATAATTTGCTACAGAGTTCTGACACATTCTTGTGCCCTGCAAGAAACACAAGTAAAATGAAACAGCATGTGATTATCTGCTTAAGGTTTGTGAAATAATATATGTGCACAACAGAGCAAAAATGAGGCAAGGGAACAAACTAAATACTGCCATTTCTAGTTTTGAAATTTTTTTTGGTCAAGTTACTGTATGGAACTTCAGTGATACCACTTCAGCTCATCTTTCTCATTTAACTTCTTACTTTTTATAATGCTACAAATTTACAAAGTGCTGCCTTCAATACCTTTTCTCCAGCTGCAATCATCTACTTGAGATGAAGGCTCATGGTCCGTGCACAATTGCATGTTTTTATCAATAAAAAGGGAGGTTTGTGGCAGCGAATTTTATGAACACCAACACTTTTTATGCAGATAATACAGGACAGTAATTATATTCATCCTGAGCATATTACTTCTGAGTGCTGGTATGGATGAGAATGGGAACTTGTGAGGATAGGTTGTGTTGGAGTTGTGTTTCTTTTCTTGATAATATTAACATAATCCAGATTATGAGACGCTAATTCAAATCAGTTCTTATTAAAATCAATGGATTGAGAGATAGTGTGAAGATTTAGGTTGAAAGAGGTATTTTTTTTAAACCCATTAGTTAGTCTCTTCAACCAGCCAATGGAGAGAAGGTACATCCAGACAGTGTTGTAGGGTACCCGGTTTACATATACTGAATTATTTTCTGTAAGCAAAGACCATTCCACTGAATGCATAGGTACTCTAGGTACCTGTAGTGACAAAAGCTAGGTATTTGAAGCTAGGTGATGAATGTGCTCAATATTTCCCCAACTGTCACACTAAGGTAACTTCACATCAAAGAAAAAAATTCTGATCAGTGGGGTAGGGGAATAAAACCAATTTTGCATAACTTCTAGCAAGTTTACTGGGTTGGTAAAAGGCTATTTTTATGGATGTCTCATGATATTCTCCAAAACAAACAGATTTTCATGAAAGCATGAAAAAATAATTTCTGGGACCCTCTTTCCACTACCAAAAGGAAGTTTCTGTTACAAACTGCAGGACCACTCAGTTTGCAAACTGTGTAAACCCTTCCATAAACTTGGAGATATTTTTCTGTGATGGAAAGTAATGGGTAGATATAAACATCAAGCTTGTAAAAGAAATGATTCAAGTAAGCTAAGCACTCTGAAGTTACATAAATATGAATTATGGGCCAGTGAAACCCTAATTCAGCTCCTTTCATTTGATGCAGTCTTCACAATGTTTGAGTAACTTTTTCTTTTTCTTTTTGATTTCATGGATAACAAAGGGCACTGAAAAAACCCAGCTATTTGGTATCTCTTACTCTCATTATTTGATGTGTTGTTCCTTCATTAATTTATTTAACTCTATTCAAATCCTTAATTTTTCTTGACAAAATTAGGAATTTCATGGTTGGCTTTCTGTGCCACTTGTGGCTAGAGTACGTGAATACTCCTCATCAATATGACTAATTTTTACAGTTATATTTCTGAGGTAAAATAAACCACTCATCAGTGTTAGATAATCAGGGAAACCCAAGGCTTGATTTTTAAAATACCTAACCTTAAACAGCATTTTGCATAGTCAGGCACAACTCCTGATGATGCCACTTGCAATTCTGATGAAAATCAGATCCCAGGATTTTCTGTGAGACCTCAAGACAACAAGAAATACAGGATTAGTGGGCTTTTACTTTGAGCAATTTGCCTATCCTGACACAAAACTGCTGGTAGAGATGCTGAAAGAGAATATAATCCATTCTTCTGTCTTAGTTAAACTCAGCTGTTTGGTCATGAAACTCTCTCCATTTTTCTTGTAACCCAAATCTCTGCATAGACCCCAGCACCTGAGAACATCAGCCAGCGGGTTCTATGGATAAGAGCCTACTGGAGCACACAACCCTTATACACTATCACAGCTATTTATTTGTACTTTAGACAAGACAGTGGAGTTAAAAATGTGGACACGGGGAAGGCAAGTCTGAGATGGGATCGTTCATATGTTGTTTAATTTGCTAATGTAGATAAGCCTTCTACTTTTTCTATGTATTCCTCCTGACCCCAAGCCTCCATTTCTGTATCTGATAGAAAAAAGATACTGGTCAGGATAGATTCATGGTCTGACAAAGGAAGGCAGTTCTTAACTCTCATGCATGAGAAATGAGCACTAGAGTATAACACATAGTTTGCAATATACTCTTATAGACATTTGCTGATAAAAGAGGAACTTTTATTATTCTGTAAATTACCAAAATCCTGTATTTTTCTGAACCATTTGGCATTTTGGCCAAAATCACTGGACTGAGAAGATATACATTATGGAAAATTTAATCTGATGTGGACACAGTTGCATTTATAGAGTACTGGTGATCTTAATGGTAGATACTGTTACCAGCCTTGCCAATAGCATATTTACAAAATAAATGAGACAAATGGAGGCACGACAGATTAAAGTTGTACAGCTTATTTTGGAGTTCTGTATTTTATCTGAGAGCTGTGAATGAGTCATCCAAATAAGTCCAGATGAAGAACTTGGTATAAAAATGATTTTATATTAAAAAACTGAAACTGTTTTCTACATCCTTAAACATATTTTAGGGTTATTTTTGGTTGATTATGTATTTCGAAGTCAGATGTCTTATTTCCATTAATCTAGCTAAGTAGACTCCAAAGCAGAAAAAAACCCACAACTCTTGAGTCTAAAATTAGCCTTAAAATGGTCTAAAATAGAACTTCTGTTATTTTTAGAATTGTCAGCACTATAAAGTTTAACAATATGTAAGTTTTTAGGGTCCAGTACTACTGTGCTCAGTGCTGCCAGGAAGGCATTGGGTATTATCAGGAATTTCAAGCTCTTATCAGTGTGTAGAGATGTACTTCTTGCTCATCAGACATACAGCATGAGAAACCATGGCAACAGGTGATGCAGATACAGAAAAATACAGCTATAGTACAAATGGAAAAAGATAATAATAACAGGCTTCTTCAGTGTAAATTTTGCATATGTACCTATGCTCACTTCATGCACACATTCTGCTAGTTGCTTCATCCAGTTGCCTAGTAAAACGCAGCAGGCTTCAAGTGATGATAGTATATCTGCACTGTGGACAAGAGAGTTCAGTTCTCAAAACACATCACAGCTCCGAATACTTCCTGTGTTTTATTTTCTGATGCAAATTCTTGCCCTCTCTTGCTTCTTTGCAAATTGCACCTTATTACATCTCTTAGACCTCCTGAATGACCTTAGCTAAATCATTCAGCCTCACTGTTTTTCTAATTCTCTATTACAAGGCAGAGATTAAAATACCTGCTTCCTTCAGTAAGCATTTTGAGTTCTATGCAGCATATTTTTTAAGTTCTGTAGGTACTATCCAAGCTTTGTAAGAGCTATGCAGTACTCCTGCTGTTACAATAACAGATAGCTGTCTTCCCTTCTTCTGAATGAGTACTAGATTCTGTGAAGCATGTATCCCATGGGCCTTCAGAGTCTGGTGGGCAGCCCATTTTTGCTGAAGATCTGCAGACAAGTTCAGTAACACTGTGATTAAAGACTATATAAAGTATTGTGCCTCCTTCAGAGAAGTAAAATGGTGACTATCATAAATGGATGAACTTTGTTGCCAAGTTGAGATCTGGAGTGACAGTCCCAACCAAGCACCTTTAACTAAGTATATTTCTTGAACATGGGAAAATTAGTTTTGATGATATAAAAAGCAAGTATCTTGATGTTAGTACTGTAACTGAAGTACTCTTCCTGGGCCAAGGTTATTTAACACTGCCCATGAAGCAGGACAATGGCTGGAATGACACAATCCAGTTCTTAACAGATACATGTTGTCTGAATTTAAATAAATTATAAAAATTAATGCAGGTAAAATTCTGAATTTCATATTCCCTTTTTCTTCCTTGATGTCAGCATGGATTTTTAGTGAATGAAGCCTGAGTAGGATCTGCAGGATTGAATTCTCTATCAAACAACTACTTTGCTTAATTAGCATTGAACATAACAGAACATTCCTGTCAGTTGTCTGCATCTTTACATCATGGATTCTAATGGAGACACTAAAAACCTATATAATGCTCAAAATATCATACAGAATAACAAAAAGAACCCTATCAACTTTAAATACTCCGAGAATACTAAGATGAAGTCCTATATTATCAGAGAATAACTGCATTTCATTTGAATTAAGAGTGTCCTTGACTATCTTTTCAGCTGAAGTAGGTATATGAACAATTATATTCTGTGAAGAAGAAGATAAAAAAAAAAAAAATAATGAAAGAAAAAGAAAGGTTTATGGTCGAGACCTTTCCACTGAATTTTGCCAGTCATTGTAAAGGATTGTTATAAAGTTCGAGAAGAAATATAATGAGTTATTAGCTGAGCAATGACTATGGAGTCATAAGTGAATATAGTAAATCATGATACAAAGTATCCACACATTGTTCTGTTTGGTATGCAGAAATAAAGAAAAAAACCCACCAAGAATGCTAAGAAGTCATAAATGAGCAGCTCAGCAGTTTGCACCTCTGACTTGTTAGTGGTAACAGTGTGAAGGTCTTGTAATGCAAGGGCATATAACAAAGATATTCACTGTTTTCCTGTGAGTAAGCTATCCATCATCAGCTAATGCATCCAGCATGGTAAAAACAGTTCCAGACATCATCATAGAAGCAGGTACTCGCATACTTTATAACAACACTGTATAATAAGAAACTATACCTGAATTAAATCAATAGGGTACAGCAGCAATACGAAGAAACAAGAAGCACTGTTTTCAGAATTAATTCTACCCTTATCAGGGCACTCAAGCATTTCCATTATCCTACTCGTACACTCAAATGTTGAAAGATATCAGAAAATTCTGAGTGTTTCTATACAGCACCTTGAAAAATTCTTTGGACATATACAAGATTTACAAAATCAGCTACATAGCCTTTTCTTTTCTTTCCTTTTTTTTTTTTTTCTTTTCCTTTTAATATGTGAATAAGGACCTATACCATTACAGCATGGGTGTGATCTTCCTCCAATAAACATTCCTTCTGATTTACAGATTTGAAATATAAAAGTCTGAAATTGCTTTCTCAATATATCTTGCTATTCTCTGGTAAAGCATCCTAGATTTCAAAGTTAATTTGATTATTTTAGGAAAGAAGGCATTTATGTCTTTCAGTAAGTACTAAACACAGCCCTTTATAAGGATTTATATAAGGAAACCAAACCTTTAAAACAATGTTTTTAGTAGAAGTTTAGAAATCTGCATTTCTTATGCTTAAATTGACATTAAATTCTGTTTGAGAATGAAAACTTTGTTCCAGACACGCATGATGTAGAGATGTATTTCAACAATTTTAAAATGTTCTGCTGAGTTATAATATAAATTACTTAGTCAAACAGAGATCACGAAAGGACCTTTCCTGTACTCATACTGAGAGCCGTAGGTCAACTTTAGATTCCAGTGTTTCAAAAATAAACACTGTATACAGCACGTCTTCACCAAAAGTTATCAGCATATCCATGATCAAAGCTCGTAATTTTCCTAATAACCACGTCGATCAGCAAATCTTTCAGTGGGAATCATCTGCCTTAATGTCTCCAAATGAATGCTAGCATCTAACCTACAGGACCAGAAACAAAACCAACTGAAGAAAAAGGAAAGGCTTAATGATTTCAAAGGTTTCAACCAGGTCTCAATAAGCAATAACAATGACTAGAAAAATGCAATTAGCTAATAACAGTGGAAGATGGTGATCATCTCTGAAGCCGTAATTGGTCTGAGAAAGCCACCTGTGTGCCTTTTTTGTCTCCATAGACCAATACAGTAAAATGGATAAAATACTTATTTTGGTAACTATTGTGTTCTAATAACTGATAAAGGTCACAGAATGCATCTAAGTTTTTAATGGAGGACAAAAAAGAAAACAGAAAACATTACACTTGTTTCTCTGTTTAGCATTCAAATAATTTTCATTTTTTCCTGTCATTTTACTTATTAATTAGGGTTCTTTTTGTATTTTGCTACTCTGTTGACAACAGGGGATGACTTTAAATAGTAATAGATATGATCTTCATTATTTTGACATATATTTAATTACGTCCATCTTTTTCATTTTTTTGTAAACTAAAATTAGTGCATTTTTGGTAAAAAACTTTGTAATCTTAGTAAAATGAATTGTTTTTGTTACTACTTCAATAAATTACATTTACAAATGAACTCTGCCCTTCTGAACCTTAAAAATATGTAAGTTCTGATACAGAGATAAATGGTTTCTTTGTCACATAGGATGAATTTATAATCTATTTTATGATTCTGACTGTATGAACATTTTTCTCAAGCTATTTCATCTCCTTGTAATCTCGAGTCATTTACTGAAGTTCTACAGCATTATAAAAGAATTCAGCAAATATTTACAGAAAAAAACCCCTATTTTCTTTAATATCTTTTCTAGAAAGTTTTTAGTAAATAGATTATGTAAGAAAATTATAATGTTTAGATTTGGTATTTGTTTAACAATATTACAGGAAAAAATTATTTCTGTCAAAATATGTCGCTGCTTAGGAAATTCAGACAGAGTTTCTTCAGTTTTTTTTTTTTTCATTTTAGATACCATTTTTCTGTAAAAAAAAAAAAAAAATATATCAGTAAACTTCACAGAGTGTGAAGTAGTCTCTAAGCAGGTCATATAGAGAACAGTGATATCCTGTAATGTCCCTATTTAATTCTATAAAAAATTGACTTAACTTGCTTGTGCAAGTTAATACAACATGGAAAACTTTCTAGGATTTCCCTTCCTTAATGGATCAAATTCTACTTTCAGATGTTAACAAAGACTTTTTCTCTCTGATGTTTAGCTTATTCTATGACTTTCCTTTGCCACCATTTATAATTTTGTAACTGCATTATTTGACTCTTGCAAAACTTTGGACGGCTTAGAAAGACACTACACAAAACAATACTCCTACTGTTAAAAATGAAGGAAAGACGTCACTAATGTGATGGTTTTTTATTTGAACACAATACATGGCTTACTTAGTTTTGATTTTAACCTTCAGATAATAATCCTGGACAGTATGTCAATGAGGACTACTATAAATCCGTATTACCATGATA